CTTCTAAAGTCATACTCCTAGGCATACAGCCATCAGTAGAGTATGATTTATCCAAGATACTCACAATCTTAACTTAACTACCACCACCACAATATACAAAACAAACAATCGTCAATGGTAATGATATGATTGCGCACGTGATCCCGCGCGGCCCACGACCAGCCCCCACCACACAATACACCACACTATATCACACTATAAAACCCACCATCATTTCGTCACGTAGGTACAAATTCTAAAGCCCAATTACCCAATTTAACCTGAGCGGGGTCAATGAGCAGGGAGCTCGTCACACAAGCAGGCTGTGTTGTGTGTTAGTTGGCGATCCTGGAACCTCCCCTGAACCTCACAACATAGCACCCCATCTGACTACAAGAGACGAGGATCATTTGATTATTATTGCGCGTGTGCTAAGTCTCACCATGCTCAGTGGACTAAAGATGGAGGTCTGCTGCTCCTGTGTCGCCGGGGGGAGTAGGGTGTGTCTGTTCTGGTCACTTCCACTGCCGGTGGGTACTTCAGAGGTCGGGGAACTGAGGGGGATGTTGGTTGCCAACACACGCGGTACCACGTGGGCAAGTATTAGTGTTGTGGCAGACTTTCAAAGGAGGAGGAGGGGTTTCCTGCCGTGCTACTGATTATGGGGTTTAACTCGTCCCTATTTACCCAGACGTGGTGAACATGACGTGGTGATTAATATACTTTAAAGCTTTAATAGCAACTTTGTGTAATTTTAAGAAATAAGACCGGGCAGGTCTTGCTTAACTTCTATTGTCTGTGATAACCGGTCTGACGTGGAACTAGTAAGTTTACAAGTCTGCCGAGGAAAGTCTGCGGAGGAAAGGTGGTATCGCGGTTATGAGAATGGTGTCTAATACAAGTATTGCAATCGTTGAGTTCAGCATGTTTGGCTACTCGTTGCAGTCGCGTAAATAAAAACTTTAGGCAAAAAATTGGATGGATCAGCAAAGAACTCAATGGACCACCGGCTAACCTTCACTCACCTACCGTCTATCAAAATAGTGGCGCCATACAGCAATAAATGAGACATTTCAAGGTTTTTATGTAAGCTCACGTCACCCAACACGGAACCAACTTGCGACTATACAAATATCAATAATTCACGGACCCACCCCCTGGACCATAGCCCACGTGCAACTTTAACCACGCCACGTGCAACTTTAACAACACCACGTGCAACTTTAACAACACCACGTGCATATCACGTGACCAAGATAAGCTAAACCCCGAGGTACTAACTGATACCACGTGACTAGGAGGTACAGTATGGCATCACAGGGGTGTGATAATGGTACTGTGGGTGGGGGGACTGTGTTACAATACCGGACTATAATTGTACTGAGGTTGTTGGAGCGTCACAGCTTATACTCCGTATATTAACTGGTGATAAACTTCCATGCCAGGGTACTTCATGTAACTGAGAAGTATAATGCTCATATTTACAGGTGATACCGACCCAGGTAGGTCCGACCCACTACTCTGCAAAAAGTTTGTCCTATAACGAAAGTCACATCATGAATATTTGGACCACTACATAAAATAAACCTTCTGATCTATAAAACCGTTCTACCATTCATCTTTAAAAAGGAAAAGCTTTTAAAAAATGACAAAGCTGTCATATCATCGTATGAATCAGAATTTATGGAAAATTACTCGTTTATGATTCATATCATAACTTATGCTTAATGTTGATCAATTTGCGAGTAAAGGCCGTGCTTTTTTTGACTTAATTGATCATGGAAGATATTTAAGTAAGGCCATAAACTTCTTGCCCTCGTTTTCAATGATCACTACTTTCAATAAGTGGGCGTATCAATGCCATAGTAACACAACTTAGTTACCATAGTTACTCCAAAACACAACCTCAACTGTACCAGCAAAACAGTGGAAAGTAATGTTGACAATAGCCGGTAACAACAGCTGAAGAGAAAGCTGGTACCTGATGACTCTGTGGTATAATTTTTCGATTGAATCTATATAATTCTATTCATCATATGTGTTTTATTCTAAGTAAATTCCTCAGGAAAGAATTACCTGCACAATTAAGATTGAGCAAATATTGTCGAAGGACTCATGACATAATTAATCTATAAAAACGATTAATTAACCAAGAAAGGTAAAATCTCTTTCCAGTTGATGGAGGCAATCCAACTCTAATCTCCTTTACAACCAACCATTTTAATTGACGGATACTTTAATTGTGTCGGCCTTACTTTTTATTTTACGTTACAACTTTCTTCAACTTGTTGTTCTTATGTCTTGTCGCTAGCGGTCATTTTGGTAAAGCTTCTGAAACTGCATCTCCTGGACAATTAAGAAAGAATAAATAACGCAAAGGCAAGTAAAATTAAATTTACGGTTGGAAAATTTCATCAGCTTTAAAGCTGGTTAAGTTTTTTAAATGATCTTATTGATAAATAACGATTAAAACTAGCCGTTCTACCTGCTAATGAATAACTTTTCCTTCCATTAATATTTGATTATTATTATCATTATCAAAGATACAATCGGCACAACATTGAATAGTAATACAAATAATAAGTATCTACCGCCAATTCAAATAAACTTGGATCTAAAATGGCACAAATTAGTAAACGACACGATGCCAAACAGGCAACAGCCAAGATTATAAGTCGGACATTATTATTACAGCATATAAACAAAACATTGATCTTTAATTCAACTTTAGCTTGTACAAATTAGCATTAACTTAAAAGCACGTTACGTAAGCCTGGAGGGGGATATTTAAAACATATACGAAAGGATTTTATTAGCAGGAGCTTTCAAAAAACTTGTGTAAATCGTCTTCAGCTGGGGATGATGTTGTGAAGGGTGACTAACATAAAGTTTACAACATACGGCGATTAATTGTTAAAAGTCATCATACGAACAAGTGGACAATTAAAACTAAAAGGCAACTAATAGACAACACTAACAGAATTAGACGACGCTATCAATAGTGTGAGTCAAGTTAATCTAAATAACGAAATGTTTCGTATTTTATTTGTGTACATCTGCTCATTAAACTCGCGAAAGCTCACTTACTCATGTGCATTAATATACATAAGAGAGGGGAAGAGGGCTACCAGACAACTGAACCCAATTTGGACTTTTCCTAGACAGGGTAGCTTGGGAAAATGATTTTAAACCCAATCAGTCTGCCTAATTAACTTTGAAACGACAACTGAACCCAGTCGTAACTAGAAATAACTAACAGGGGAGGAGGAAGGGAATTAATATAAATCTGATCCAGAGATTACCATAATTAGTTTAAGAAAAGTATTATCAAGCAATCCAATTCATAATTATCAGTCGTCGACTGGGGCCCCGGCCCCGGCCAACATTTGGCAAATCGCCGGGGGTAAACCCCGGCCCCGGCCCCGGCCAATAAATTTAACCCCGGCCAAAAACCATGCATTTGCCGGGGCCACAGCCGGGGATTTCATGAACGATTTTGGCACATTTTTGAAAGAAATCAAACACAATTTAATAGTAATTATGAGATTTCAAAGTTGAAAAATTTATTGAGTACGTTTCAATATAAAAAATACAACATACGGCTTAAATTAGACTACGGCTAGTAACATAAAAACCGTGGTTCTTCCTCAGTATGATCAGACTTTTCAATTAATCGTCTCCAAGAAATTTGCGATAAAATATACGTAGAAACTAGAAAGTAAAAATACTGCACTGCAGCTAAAACTACGGCTCAACGTAAACTACAGAGCCTAACATTTATGGTAAATTTTGTGAACTGAGCCATATTTGGATGTGGGATTACTTTTAAATCCCGAGGTCCAGATAAAGTAGCAGCTTGAGGATTAGAAATTAAGTATGGATCTCAGGATAATGAGGATTATCCTGAGTTGGTTCACAGCACGAAGTTGCGGTTTAATCCTCAAGTCGGTGAGGATAAGCCGCACCTTGAGTTTAATCCTTCCCGATTGCATCACACCAGCCTAAAAGTAAATTATTATCAAATTCATGTTTCAATTTCTGACTTCAGTTTGGTAAACTACCCCCGGCCCCGGCCCCGGCAAAATGGAAGATTTCCCGGCCAATTCTCAGTGGTCAGCCCCGGCCCCGGCTATGTTGGGGCTCCCCGGCCCCGGTCAGAATCCTGCCCCCGGTCGACCACTGATAATTATACTCTGCTATAAAGCCCGTGGTCACACGAAAGAAGCTTACCTCAGGCTATCATGTTCATAAACATAGAGATTAGGCGGAATGACAGGCTGAGCGCACCCAGTAAGGAAGAAGCTAATACTAATAGTATTCTTTGGTAGTCAGTTTTTATCGCATCAAGCAATATCCATCACAACCAAAAGGCAAAGATACAGCCGATGAAAATGCAGCTCGCACTAAACACAACTTAATTGCCACAATGGCTGGTCTTTTGTTGGTGAAAAGTGGAAAGAACAGATAACCAAAATAGTAGGCAGAAAACATTGTATTTGTCATTATTAACAAAATGGGTTGAAAATGTTCGAAAGAGTAGTATCATTACAACTTCAATCATACAGGAATTTATCGTATTACTTGTTTCAAGCAGTCGCATAAATATGTGGAAAGAAGTTTCCTGAGATTGATAATGTCTAGCAGAAATATAACACTACAGAGTGGGTTGAAATGGCTAAAGATTCTAGCACCCCCTCCCTCAACGCCTCCTCCCTCAACGCCTCCTCCACCACCCTCCCTCATTTACCCTCCCTCTGCACTACACTGCATAATGTTCCAAGTAAACGTCACAGAGTCTTTAAGATTTTAAATTTCAAGACAGCCGCCCTGATTCGAACTAAATTCTGAATTTTGCTTCGCTACGTGGTCAAGTTATTGACGACTGTAAATCAAATCAAGCTTTATGTTTGGAATAAAACTAAAAAACATTCAAGTTACAAATTTAAAATTTTGTGGTAATCGATTACAGAAACAAAAGAAAACAGGCTTCTGTACTTGAATATAACAAATAAAAATATAAAGTTATCATTGAATCATTTTTGTAGCATCACAAATCAAACTTCCGTATATTTTTTTACTCTTTTCAATCAAGTCCATCTAAAAAATTCTTGTTTTCATTTTAAACCACCTCGATTGTGACGTCATCAGATACTTCCATACCCATCTGATCGAACTCACATCGGTAGGTACCAGTGTCTTCTGGTGTGGGGTTCTTGAATACCAGGATATACACTCCTGAAACACAAGGAAATATTTTATGTAGGGTTCCATAAGTATAAATACAGTAGGTTTGGTAAAATTGCAATGAAACTCGTTATCGGTGAAGCATGAGAATAAATGAAATAGTTTCATCAAGCAATGTTCTTCTAAAATTACTTAACGGCAATGTGAATATTAAAAAGGATACAAATCTATGACTGTTGTTTAATCACATATGTTTTCCAATTCATTGATGGAACACATCAAGTTATACTCAAATCTCCAATAATTTGTCCCAAATTTCACACAATACAATAACTGGCTCTCACCCCTGCCCCTCTCGATGCCTATGGTGTCCGAGTCATCCATCAGCTCTTCACCATCCTCAGTAACCTTGTACCAGTTAACATTGTCAGGACTCTTAGGGTCGTCTAATTTTACCTGGATCAAATTTTAGATAAACTATACCAGCATTTAAATCTTAATAGCTTAATGGGCTCTTAGGCTCGTCTAATTTTACCTGGATCAATTAATACATAACATATACCAATCCTAAGAATAAGTCCTAAATCCTAATCCAGCTTCACGTCCCCTACTCATCTCCTTCATCGTACTCTCTAAGTCTAACCTATCTCCTTGGACTTGCCTTTATGCACACATCCAGAATTTTTTATTAGCATTTAAATTATTATATTTGATTTCATTTCCACTTCGTGATATTGTAACACAGTTAAATTTTAAGATTTTATTTCCATAATTGTATTCGACTTTTGTTTTATATCTGAACGTATTTACGAATTGATGTATAGCCAAAACGAGTTCGTTAGTGTTCTCCTTGGTAATTTCATGCTTAATTCCTGTTTAATTCCTGTTTAATACCAACATTTAGAATTCTTCTGACATCTATTTTACTCACGTTATCCAAATCAAGGTCGCATTTGATTTTGAGTTCCTTGCCAGCCTTCTGTGGCTTCATAAGAGCTTCCTCGTTTTCTACCGTCAGTGTAACTGAACCCTCTGAGATAAGTTATAGTGTCAATTCAATGCAAGTAACAGATTTCCGAAAGAATGAACAATTAAATTGTGTGTGTCTCACTCAAACTGAACGCAAATATCAATGTTGCACTAATTTATGCGCAACCCTTATCCTAACTATATCTTAATTAAGTAATTAACTATATCTTAATTAATTATGTAATTGAATAATTAATTATCCAATAAAATTAAACGGAATCCTACCAACGAGTTCAGTTTCCACCTCGACCTCACATTTGGAGACCTCGCCGTCTTGGTCGATAAAGATAGAACCGACATACACACCAACGTCATCAACATCAAAGTCCCTAATAGGGGGGGGGGGGATGCGAATGTTAATAGCTGTTTCCACCAGTTAGTGGTGGACGTTAGTTTCCATCAGTGTTCTATCATTGATTATAGTTAATTACATACCCATAATTATTTAATTACATACCCATAATTAATCAGACTTAATGTCAAAGTATCGTGAAGTTCAATATTGCCTGATCATAAAACTGTTCATTTCAATATTACCTGATCATGAAGCCGTTAAGTTTGTCTTTTCCATCATCCTTTGGCTTCCAGGGGTCGTTGTTCTTCTCCCACGTGATTGTGGCGTATTTCTTCAACGTCTTCTTCTTCTCCCCCACCAGCTGGAGTTGAAATATTATTGTTAGCTTAAATTATGTTGGTAAGTTTAGGTTAAGTTTGTAACATATTTCACTGTTCTGTGATAAGGAAAGTAACTGAGCTAGTTCTTTTTGGAGCCAATTCATTTAATGACTAATGGGCTGATGAAACATTCATTACAACTTTTAAAATGCTGGTAAAATACTTGCATACAACTTTACCTTGACATTTACGTTCATTCCCTTGAATCCCTTGACCTTTTCTTTCTTAGGCTTAATATCACAGTCAACAAGTTGTAATGCCATACACGATCCGTCTTGTCCTTTCTCTGTTCCTTCTGTGCACTCGCAGTGGTAGTTGCCTACTTCATTGAAACAGTCCTACAGGAAATCAAATATTATCACTAAAAAATCTTCAATATAAATATAAATTACTCATTATTCACTGAACTTTTCAATTTTCATTTTATTTATTTCATTTATTATTAAGAAACTGTTTACACCATTAAAATATTCCAAACTCCTAAAAGAAATCAAGTCATCCTAAAATGGTGATCAGTACAGATCAAGACAGCTAGAGTTAAAATTTGTTTCTCCAAGCAACTCTATCATCGGCTAATATCTTAAGCTTATTAAGATCATTCAAAGAGTTAAGTTTTAAACCTCTACGGGTCAAATCATTCACAATAATCTTGAACAAATTCTTACGATGCGCACCGACGCGCCCTTTACAGTTTGTTGTGACAGCAAACTTTAACGCTAATGCAGCGGGGGAGTCATCAGCACTACGCAAGATATGACCTAGGAGCTTCCACCTTGCTTTAGGGACACGATCTGATAGCTTAACTGAGTTACATCTTAGGTATAAGTTTGCATTGGATATTGTTCCATGAGGCCAATAAATGTTCAGTAATGATCTAAGGTGTTTTCTATGGCAAATGTCTAGTTTTTCTAGTGACTTTGCAGTAGGACACCAACTACTGCAATTGTACATGATGATTGATACAATTTGGGCTTCGTATACTGCTATCTTTCTGGTAACGGAGATATTCTGCTGAGACCAGATCTTGGTGAACTTATAGAAGGCATTGTTCCCAGCAATGCATCGAGCAGCTATATCACTTTCACTACACAACAATGACCCAAGGATCTTACCCTTACGCCAATCTTCATTTCCACGTAACATGGTATCATCACGACCAGGGATTGTTTCCCCAACAGGAGCGAGGAAAACATGGGTAAATTCTGTTTTCTCTGTGTTAATGAACAGGTTAAACTCCTTGAAGACTTCCTTAGCTATTGGTAGGATAGCTTCTAAGGATTCTTTTTCCACGTTCATGAAGTTACAATCATCTGAATACGCTGACTCCAGTGGCATACCTTCTTTTTAAATTTCATTTAATTTATTTTATCACTCTTGTGTATCTTCTTTCCACAATATATTTAATTTTAAATACTTTTACCTGGTTTTCTCCACAAGGACTACCCTCACACTCGTCAATATCCACACATTTCCCTTTAATGGGTTACTTGTTACTATGGTTACTGTTACTTGTTACTATGGTTACTGTTACTTGTTACTATGGTTACTGTTACTTGTTACTATGGTTACTGTTACCTGGTTTTCTCCACAAGGACTATCCTCGCACTCGTCGATATCCACACATTTCCCGTCTTCATTTTCATATCCGTCAGTGCACACACAGTCTTTTGTTTTAGGGTCCTTTACAAATGTGTCGAGGCAGTCACAGATGAAACTTCCTGTAGTAGATTGGATTTTGTTAATATTATAATTAGTTATGATTAATAATTATATAATTAGTTCGGAGGATGTCTTGGTTTTCATCAGCAAAAACTGGTAAATCATAAGATTGATGTAACAAAAAAGGTGTTAACAAAAAAGGTGTTATAAAATTATAAACACCGTTATGTGTGTAATAAACATTGCTTAGAGTTATTGACAGTAACCATAGTAACAAAAACCTTCAACATTAGAACATCTCTCCGTGTCATCACAAGGGGTGTCCAGGCACTCGTTAATATCTTCACAGGTCCCGTGAACAAGCTCATATCCTTTGTTGCACTCACATCTAACAAAAGGAATATTTCACGTTAGTTCCAGGTGAGCCAGTATGATTATTAAAAGATTAAATTTAAAAAGCATTAAATAATGCAATGTCTTTAAATGTCGTAATTCAATGGTGAAAAGATTTATCTTGTAATCTCACGTTGTGTTATTTCTAAAGTTTTCACTGCACCACAATGCACCGGAACCTCGCTGTTTACACTAATTCACTAATTAACTAACGTATAAGATCCAAGAGTGTTATACTAATTAACTAATTGACTAATTAACTAACGTATAAGATCCAGGAGTGTTATACTAATTAACTAATTAACTAATTAACTAATTAACTAATTAACTAATTAACTAATTAACTAATTAACTAATTAACTAATTAACTAATTAACTACTTAACTAATTAACTAATTAACCAATTAACTAATTAACTAATTAACTAATTAACTAATTAACTAATTAACTAATTAACTAACGTATAAGATCCAGGAGTGTTATACTAATTAACTAATTAACTAATTAACTAATTAACTAACGTATAAGATCTAGGAGTGTTATACTAATTAACTAACGTGTAAGATCCAGGAGTGTTGGTACACTAATTACACTAATTACACTAATTACACTAATTACACTAATAATACTAATTACACTTATAATACTAATTAACTAATTAACTAACGTGTAAGATCCAGGAGTGTTGGTACACTCTCCATTTCCACAAGGTTCCTCGGGGCACTCGTCCACATCAGAGCAGGTCTCACCATCGAACTTGTATCCCTCATCACACAGACACTTGTAGTTGGGACCGTCCTCCTGGCACTCTCCTGAAACGGGGAGTAGGTAATTAGTTGTGGTTAACTATGAAGATTAATAGGATAAGATATTTCACCCACAAGGAGGATGGTGTTTTTTATTTGATATTTCTCTTGAATTAAGCATGACTTAACGTTAAATATTATATATAAAGCTAGAAATAGCATGAGAGAAGATAACCTACAAATAAAATGACGTATAAGAAGATAAAGTAAAAGATAAGGTACCTTTGCCGCATTTGTCTTCCTCGCAACCACCAGGTATCCTAGGTACACACATCGGGAGTTCCTTAACCATCTGGCACTCTTGTTCTGCAGGGCACCGCACTTGTTCACAGGTTGGACAAGCCGTCTTGAGGTACTCCGAACTGGGGTGAAGCGGGGGTAACACCAGATTGGATAGCAGTCATAATCTTTGACTGCCTTAATTGTGAACGCTAAAGAAATAATCTAAATCATAAGTTTTTTGTTTTTTTTTCAAGTAAGTCTATTCATATTACGGGATTCAACAAATAAATAGTGATATTTAGTAAGTGCTAATATATTGCTCGCTAAAGTAATACCACACAACAACTTACCCAGTCAGTTTCTTACAGACAGCAGTAAGTTTACACCACTGATGACCAGCCGGGTTGCTCAAACAGTTGTCCATGGAACAGGTTCCATCATCATTGATATCAACAGCACCGATACTGTTGATACGCGACTTGTTCTCGGCAGTCAGTTGTTGAGACCAGGGACTGTGGAAGATGCAACTCTCCATGACGTACCCTCCCGGACACTCTACTGAGGGGGACTTGTCTGCTTTGTTCCTGTAGTAAAACAGTTACTTACTGGTAATATCCGGATCGGAACATTAGTTGCATTGTTGCAATGATTCTGGGGCAAACTAAACATTTTGCTCCAGAAACTGGGCTACATTTGTGTAAGATTTGAAGATTTTGTTGATTTATTCACTTCTTTTTGCTACATTGTCAGGGATATTTCTTTATGTTTTTAGTTAAGTGACCTAATCAGTTACTAACCTGTATTCTATTCCATGGATTTCATCTTGGGTGCAAGGATCAGTGAAGACAGAGTCATCACCACAATATGCAACTGCCTGAATGAAAATATGGTATTATATGCGAGGCCACTCAATATACGGAAATACCCAAAACAGGCTTATATATTATTCTTGTCTTCAAATCAAAATTTAAATATGCAATCTTTCACATTGTCACACTATAAAGTTAATTCTTACCATGATTGGGAACTTCTTGCTGTTGGACGCTCTAGCCTCACACCTGGCAACCCCGTTTGAAGAGGTGATGGTGACACCATCAGCAGCACCGGGCATTCCGAATGTGTGACACCTGTTGGTGATGGTTACAGTTAGGAACCAGACCAAAATATACCGGACCTACATATACCGGACGATATATCAGTTGGGTTCTATAATCGTTCTAGCTGGGTCTAGTCAGGATAGGCACACTGGTAGCTGATCCGTATCAAGAGATTAGATATCGGACATGTTCTGTCACTTGTCAGTGAAATATTTATCGTTGCTTTTTATAAATGTCTCAAATTCAATCGAATTATACTTTATCGTTTGTGAATACATGTTAAATTATTAAGACAAAGCTAAGGATCGTAGAGACCATACGTTTCAAGCGGCTCGTGTAATTTTGTTCTGTAGTGCTGTAGTACACCTCATAAAGAAAGTTCTGGAGTAATTCAAATAAGCAAATTAAGCATGCTGAATAAAATACTAATGAGCATCTAATTGTTAAAAAATCAGATGTGCTGATTAAGAGAATCAGTTACTAAAGGTTAAGTTTAAAATGGGTAATTGAAAAATAAAGTTATCCTATTAAAATATGGGAACTGTACCTCATAACTTTCTCTCCCTCATTGCAAGAAGCGTAACTGTGAGCATCATCTCCAAGAGCCTTGTCACCATAAACAGTTCGATCTGGATAGTTAGGTTGTATATTTAAAGAAGGTGTGATGCGAACAAGATTTTAAACATATAATCAGCACTAAAAGTACAATAGATTTTATAAATTTATGGAATACAGTCAATATTATTGGCGATCAGACTAGTCAACTGTTTTTGTGGAAAGTTCAAGAATTTCAATAGCTGATCCTTACTCTTAGTTAGGTTATGGTTGGTAACATTGTGTTTAGTGCTCTGTTGCAAAATTATAAAAGATAACGATCAATTAATGCGATATGTGGTTGGAGAGGACTGAGGAACTGAACTTCTAATACCTGATCCCTTATGCTATTAATTGTTCACACATATCAACCTTGTGTCCTGGTGTCCAGATCTAAAAGATGAACATGCCCCCCCCCCCCCCCCCCCCCCCCCCCCCCAATTTAAGAGATAAACATTAAAAATATCTCACATTTAGAGTGTTTAGGCATACAAGTTCCAGCGCTCTCATCGAACTCAAACCCGTCCTCGCAATCACAAGTGTAGTCATCAGCCCCAACAGCCTCGCACTCGCCGTGATCTCCGCATCTGATGAGGTGGTGTTGCTATGGTTACATACCATATAAGGTAGTATCAGTTTCACAGATAATATATTGGGAATAATAAAGACGAAGTACGGTATTATCCAGATTATTGTGTCTGGTGTTTAGTCGGTGAAGCAACTTCGTTTCTCTAAACGAATAATCTGTTTAATCTGTGAAAACACATACTTTTACTTACACATATTAATTAATAGTAATACTCGGTCAAATGCGGCTGTAAACACAAGCTCAGAGCTTTTTCATGACTATAAGATATTACTATAAGACATCATGTATTATAGTACTTTATCAATGTCCGTTAGACTTGTCCGCCAGGTGAAAAATATAGTTATCATAATCTAAATTTATGAGCGATTGCTTTGGCAAAAGTTTAACTGATGAAATTGAAGCTAAAAGAAAGGTTTCAAGTTATTCAAACCTGTCGACATCGCAACCGGTCTGTTTCTCAGAGCAGAACGGAACCTTAACCTCGGAGTCATCCTCCGCTTCTACCATATCACACACTTCCTCAGCAGCACAGTTCCAACCTTCACAGTCCGGACACACCTTCGCTGCGTACGCGTTCCTGGGAGGGAGGGGTTTTACTGGACGTTTTTAGCAAAATTCGTTGCAAGAAACAAAATAGACATGTATACGAAAATTTGGAGATTGCAGAGCAAGGGCCAAGGACAGGTTGATCACAGTCACAAATGAATCGAATTGTTCGCTCAAAGGTTCACTGAAAATTGAAAAAATATGGTATTCACCCTCTTTCCCTTTCCAAATAAAAATGTTTATCACTCACAAGTCATCCATTAGTTTGCAGACGAGGGTTACATCACACCACTTCTGGTCACTGCAGTTAGGCACAGCACATGCAGCATCGTTAGGAATTACTCCTACACCACTGATTCCTTTGTTTGTGAGTCTGCGAAGATATCAGGTTTATATAAAGTGCGAAAAGTTCAGGATTTATAATTATATAAAGTTTGAAAAGTTAAGGACTATTAAAAACACCCTGATTTCAGATACTAAGTTTAATATTTGACTGGTTTTATTCGTTGTATTATTTCATTGAGGTTATAATTCGTCATAGTTATAACTTTATCTCTGTCTTCACCATCTTAATCAGTGATCAGCGTATTAAATTAATTAATTAATTAATTAATTAATTAATCAATGTAAAACCAACTTACTGATCCCACCAGAAGGAGTGAGCGTTACAGATGACAGGCTCATAACCAACAGGACACTCCAGACTAGGACTGGCTCCCTTACTGTAAAGATGTTTGTATTTCTGGAGTTTGGGTCCGTTACAGGGGTCTCCAATCTGTTCATTCTCTGTGCACACTGCTTTAGCCTGGTTATGTTTTTAATTGTAAGGAGATGTGTCACAAACTTGAAGGAAATGGAATGAATAAGCACTGTTCACCCATAGCTACACTACTTACAGTGACACCATAGCAACACTACCTTATATGGTAATGTTACCATAGCAATAATACTTACAATGACTCCAGCACCTCCCCACCCGTTGTAAGCCACACAGATAGCCCCAGTTTGAGCGTTTACTAATGCTCCATCAGAGTTCACACCAACTTGTCCTGTTGCTACTTCACAGTACGTTACAACCTGATTAGCGGGGTTGCTCTGTCAATAATGGGGAGTAACTTTAAAAGTTATTTCAGATCGGATTTAAATTAGACTTGGAGTGGTAGACTTGAATTAAAGATCATAGTATGGACTATTTATAAAGCAATATACATTAGAAAAGGAAACTAAAAGTTGAAACCTTTCCGACAGGACAGGAAGCGGCGGATGTAGCGTCATCAACAGCAGCACTCTTATCACCAACAACCTCATCTTCCGAGGCCATGTCCTCAATTACTGGGTCTTTAGGTCCCCATACCTTCAGAGAATGGCTTGTTATAATGAGGAACATGATAACAATCGTTACACGATGTGTATTTTAGGTCTTGTCCTTTGATCTTGTAGATTTAGAGCATATTAAACACAAAACAGTCTTAAACATTTTTAAAATCCCCAACAAATATACCAAAACATTACCTTGACTTCACAGAGGGTGAGGAAAGTTTTGTCGTTAACAATTTTAACAGTCTGTCCCACAGCTCCGTGTCCCTCCTCACACTCCACCTCGTACGCGTACTTCATTGGGTTGTACTTGACAGTTCCACAAAGGAAGTCTCCTACGTAAACCTGTCAAAGTTTGCTTTGTTAATTGGTTAATTGGTTAATTAACTGGGTTTAATTGGTTAATCTCCCACGTCGTTAGAGATTAACGAATGACTAGAGAGGCCTGTGGTATTTCGGGTTGCTGGGTTTAATTGACCACTAAAATGCTCATTTGTGATTAAGATGCTTCGATAGTTTCCTCTTTTATATTCCCTGCCATAAAAAACGCCATTTTCTAATTCCTTCTGTGTTTTAGTATATTACCTTAACACCATCAATTCGGTCACTACAGCAGTCCATCCTGTTTTTGATCCAGATTTTCTCTACAGCGCAGTTATCCTTCAAATCTACCATCCACCATCCAGGTCCTGTAGTGTGTGTACATGTTCCCCTGCGGAGTAATTAATTACAATGAGGCATACAGCATGGTCTATATTCCTAGTTCTTATACCATATCCCATACTATAAAATATATCCTTGTGTTTAAAAAGGGAATACGCTACACTCCTCAGTTACTTGGGATAAATTCCTAACAAGGATAGATAAGTCCTATTAAATAAGCTGTAAATATTTCCCATAGCTCACTTGGAATAAGTGCCGGGCTCTTTACAACTCACTTGGAATAAGTGCCGGACTCTTTACAACTCACTTGGAATAAGTGCCGGACTCTTTACAACTCACTTGGAATAAGTGCCGGACTCTTTACAACTCACTTGGAATAAGTGCCGGACTCTTTACAACTCACTTGGAATAAGTGCCGGACTCTTTACAACTCACTTGGAATAAGTGCCGGACTCTTTACCATCAACAGCCCTGTCAGGAACCCCTCCCCACCCGGTAGATGACTGAGAAGTAGGTTTCAGGTAGGCCAAGTTCACTAGATTATCCTTTCCCAACTCTGCTGTAGGGTCTGATAATACTTTAACCTGCGAGGGAGGGTAGTTACACGTGGTGTCCGTTACATGTTCTGTATTAATTGTAGTGATCACTTGTCTTGATACATGTTTTTATTATCATCAGTTAAAATTAAAAGCTTCAAAGCTAGTTTAATAACTGATGAGGGGCCATACCTCGCACAGTGTGAGGAACTGTTTAGGAGCAGCTTTAATCCTGATGTTAGTTGCAACCACAGTCTCAACCGTGTCACTTTTACACGCTACTTTGTAAACGTCTTGTTTCTCTACATATTTAATAGTTCCACAAAGGAAATCATCTGCGTACACCTGTAAAAGTGAACCATTTGTTAGTGTTGCTATGGTTACATTGCCATATAAGGTAGTGTTGCTATGGTTACATTATATGTTAGGCATCTTTTTATATGGAAGCAGTGTGAAAAACTTGGTCTGGTGGGCGAGCAAACTCAACATTAATCTGCACCCAGATTTCAGCCGAAATCTTCAATCATGAGGTTATCTTGATGGAGATCTGTTCCGAAATACCGAGTAAATATATTCTCTTCTCTTCCGATAACGGTATCAATATATAAATTCCTTACCGTGACTCCATCAATCCTGTTTCCACAGCAGTCCTTTCTGTTGTAGATAACCACCTTGGAAACTGGTACTGGTTCTGGGAATTCCAGGTGCCACCATCCATTGTTAACGTTTCCAGTGTGGGAACAACTTCCTCTGAGGATGAGCAGATTAGTGACAAATTAGTGACAAATTAGTGACAAATTAGTGACAAATTAGTGACAAATTAATAACAAAATAGTGACAAATTATTCAAAAATTAGTTACAAATTAATTACAAATTAGTCACATAGTTTAATTAATCACAATTCTGTTAATATAACCATTGGAGATAAAGACTGAACATTTAATTTATTCAACCTATTTCATCGTGAATCAAGTTACTTAGGTAAACTTACTCAGCATATTTAGCTTCAATGTTTCCGTCGATAGCTCTGGAAGCTACACCACCCCAGCCAACTGTAGACTGGGTAGCAGTACCGTCATCAGCTACATTAATTAGAGCTCCTAGATCATCACTTGGCTTAGCTGGTGGAAGTTAACTTTATATTATGGTAGTGTTACCTTAGTAACATTACCTTATATGGAAGTGCTATCTTTGTAACATTACCTTATATGGTAGTGTTACTTTAGTAATATTACCTTATATGGAAGTGCTATCTTTGTAACATTACCTTATATGGTAGTGTTACCTTAGTCACATAACCTTATATGGTAGTGTTACCTTAGTTACATTACCTTAATTGGTAGTGTTACCTTAGTAACATTACCTTATATGGTAGTGTTACCTTAGTAATATTACCTTATATGGCAGTGTTACCTTAGTAACATTACCTTATATGGTAGTGTTACCTTAGTAACATTACCTTATATGGTAGTGTTACCTTAGTAACATTACCTTATATCGTAGTGTTACCTTAGTAACATTACCTTATATGGTAGTGTTACCTTAGTAACATTACCTTATATGGTAGTGTTACCTTAGTAACATTACCTTATATGGTAGTGTTACCTTAGTAATATCACCTTATATGGTAGTGTTACCTTAGTAACATTACCTTTAAATATGGTAGTGTTACCTTGGTTATAATGTGAGTTATGGGCACTGGCATATACTCTTACCTTCTTAGAACTGAGTAGGTACATAAATCTAGCTTAGGAATTAGGTAGAAATCCGAAATTGACAACCGTTCCCAAAACACGATATAAATGAAGACAAGATTTGTTTTAAAGCTGTTTTAAAACTGACAAGATCTGTTTAAAGCTGTTTACTCACCAAGAACTTGGACCTCACACAGAGTCAGATACTGTCCGTCCTGGGTGACACTGACCTTGGAACCACTGGCTCCGTTACAGTTAACACGGAACACACTGTTACTGGCTATATACTCCACTGCACCGCACAGGGTGTCGTCAACATATACCTGGGGGAACACACTGTTACTGCCTATATACTCCACTGTACCGCACAGGGTGTCGTCAACATATACCTGGGGGAACACACTGTTACTGGCTACATACTCCACTGCACCGCACAGGGTGTCGTCAACATATACCTGGGGGAACACACTGTTACTGGCTACATACTCCACTGCACCGCACAGGGTGTCGTCAACATATACCTGGGGGAACACACTGTTACTGGCTACATACTCCACTGCACCGCACAGGGTGTCGTCAACATATACCTGGGGGAACACACTGTTACTGGCTACATACTCCACTGCACCGCACAGGGTGTCGTCAACATATACCTGGGGGAACACACTGTTACTGGCTATATACTCCACTGCACCGCACAGGGTGTCGTCAACATATACCTGGGGGAACACACTGTTACTGGCTACATACTCCACTGCACTGCACAGGGTGTCGTCAACATATACCTGGGGGAATACACTGTTACTGGCTACATACTCCACTGCACCGCACAGGGTGTCGTCAACATATACCTGGGGGAACACACTGTTACTGGTTATATACTCCACTGCACCGCACAGGGTGTCGTCAACATATACCTGGGGGAACACACTGTTACTGGCTATATACTCCACTGCACCGCACAGGGTGTCGTCAACATATACCTGGGGGAACACACTGTTACTGGCTATATACTCCACTGCACCACACAGAGTGTCGTCAACATATACCTGGGGGGAACACACTGTTACTGGCTATATACTCCACTGCACCGCACAGGGTGTCGTCAACATATACCTGGGGGGAACACACTGTTACTGGCTATATACTCCACTGCACCGCACAGGGTGTCGTCAACAAATACCTGGGGGAACACACTGTTACTGGCTATATACTCCACTGCACCGCACAGGGTGTCGTCAACATATACCTGGGGGAACACACTGTTACTGGCTATATACTCCACTGCACCGCACAGGGTGTCGTCAACATATACCTGGGGGAACACACTGTTACTGGCTATATACTCCACTGTACCGCACAGGGTGTCGTCAACATATACCTGGGGGAACACACTATTACTGGTTATATACTCCACTGCACCGCACAGGGTGTCGTCAACATATACCTGGGGGAACACACTGTTACTGGCTATATACTCCACTGCACCGCACAGGGTGTCGTCAACATATACCTGGGGGAACACACTGTTACTGGCTACATACTCCACTGCACCGCACAGGGTGTCGTCAACATATACCTGGGGGAACACACTGTTACTGGCTACATACTCCACTGCACCGCACAGGGTGTCGTCAACATATACCTGGGGGAACACACTGTTACTGGCTACATACTCCACTGCACCGCACAGGGTGTCGTCAACATATACCTGGGGGAACACACTGTTACTGGCTACATACTCCACTGCACCGCACAGGGTGTCGTCAACATATACCTGGGGGAACACACTGTTACTGGCTACATACTCCACTGTACCGCACAGGGTGTCGTCAACATATACCTGGGGGAACACACTGTTACTGGCTATATACTCCACTGCACCGCACAGGGTGTCGTCAACATATACCTGGGGGAACACACTGTTACTGGCTACATACTCCACTGCACCGCACAGGGTGTCGTCAACATATACCTGGGGGAACACACTGTTACTGGCTATATACTCCACTGCACCGCACAGGGTGTCGTCAACATATACCTGGGGGAACACACTGTTACTGGCTATATACTCCACTGCACCGCACAGGGTGTCGTCAACATATACCTGGGGGAACACACTGTTACTGGCTATATACTCCACTGCACCACACAGGGTGTCGTCAACATACACCTGGGGGAACACACTGTTACTGGCTACATACTCCACTGCACCGCACAGGGTGTCGTCAACATATACCTGGGGGAACACACTGTTACTGGCTACATACTCCACTGCACCGCACAGGGTGTCGTCAACATATACCTGGGGGAACACACTGTTACTGGTTATATACTCCACTGCACCGCACAGGGTGTCGTCAACATATACCTGGGGGAACACACTGTTACTGGTTATATACTCCACTGCACCGCACAGGGTGTCGTCAACATATACCTGGGGGAACACACTGTTACTGGCTATATACTCCACTGCACCGCACAGGGTGTCGTCAACATATACCTGGGGGAACACACTGTTACTGGCTATATACTCCACTGCACCGCACAGGGTGTCGTCAACATATACCTGGGGGAACACACTGTTACTGGCTACATACTCCACTGCACCGCACAGGGTGTCGTCAACATATACCTGGGGGAACACACTGTTACTGGCTATATACTCCACTGCACCACACAGGGTGTCGTCAACATACACCTGGGGGAACACACTGTTACTGGCTACATACTCCACTGCACCGCACAGGGTGTCGTCAACATATACCTGGGGGAACACACTGTTACTGGCTACATACTCCACTGCACCGCACAGGGTGTCGTCAACATATACCTGGGGGAACACACTGTTACTGGCTACATACTCCACTGCACCGCACAGGGTGTCGTCAACATATACCTGGGGGAACACACTGTTACTGGTTATATACTCCACTGCACCGCACAGGGTGTCGTCAACATATACCTGGGGGAACACACTGTTACTGGCTACATACTCCACTGCACCGCACAGGGTGTCGTCAACATATACCTGGGGGAACACACTGTTACTGGCTACATACTCCACTGCACCGCACAGGGTGTCGTCAACATATACCTGGGGGAACACACTGTTACTGGCTATATACTCCACTGCACCGCACAGGGTGTCATCAACATATACCTGGGGGAACACACTGTTACTGGCTATATACTCCACTGCACCGCACAGGGTGTCATCAACATATACCTGGGGGAACACACTGTTACTGGCTACATACTGCACTGCACCGCACAGGGTGTCGTCAACATATACCTGGGGGAACACACTGTTACTGGCTACATACTCCACTGCACCGCACAGGGTGTCGTCAACATATACCTGGGGGAACACACTGTTACTGGTTATATACTCCACTGCACCGCACAGGGTGTCGTCAACATATACCTGGGGGAACACACTGTTACTGGCTACATACTCCACTGCACCGCACAGGGTGTCGTCAACATATACCTGGGGGAACACACTGTTACTGGCTACATACTCCACTGCACCGCACAGGGTGTCGTCAACATATACCTGGGGGAACACACTGTTACTGGCTATATACTCCACTGCACCGCACAGGGTGTCGTCAATATATACCTGGGGGAACACACTGTTACTGGCTATATACTCCACTGCACCGCACAGGGTGTCGTCAACATATACCTGGGGGAACACACTGTTACTGGCTATATACTCCACTGCACCGCACAGGGTGTCGTCAACATATACCTGGGGGAACACACTGTTACTGGCTATATACTCCACTGCACCGCACAGGGTGTCGTCAACATATACCTGGGGGAACACACTGTTACTGGCTACATACTCCACTGCACCGCACAGGGTGTCGTCAACATATACCTGGGGGAACACACTGTTACTGGCTATATACTCCACTGCACCGCACAGGGTGTCGTCAACATATACCTGGGGGAACACACTGTTACTGGCTACATACTCCACTGCACCGCACAGGGTGTCGTCAACATATACCTGGGGGAACACACTGTTACTGGCTATATACTCCACTGCACCGCACAGGGTGTCGTCAACATATACCTGGGGGAACACACTGTTACTGGCTACATACTCCACTGCACCGCACAGGGTGTCGTCAACATATACCTGGGGGAACACACTGTTACTGGCTACATACTCCACTGCACCGCACAGGGTGTCGTCAACATATACCTGGGGGAACACACTGTTACTGGCTACATACTCCACTGCACCGCACAGGGTGTCGTCAACATATACCTGGGGGAACACACTGTTACTGGCTACATACTCCACTGCACCGCACAGGGTGTCGTCAACATATACCTGGGGGAACACACTGTTACTGGCTACATACTCCACTGCACCGCACAGGGTGTCGTCAACATATACCTGGGGGAACACACTGTTACTGGCTATATACTCCACTGCACCGCACAGGGTGTCGTCAACATATACCTGGGGGAACACACTGTTACTGGCTATATACTCCACTGCACCGCACAGGGTGTCGTCAACATATACCTGGGGGAAGACACTGTTACTGGCTATATACTCCACTGCACCGCACAGGGTGTCGTCAACATATACCTGGGGGAACACACTGTTACTGGCTATATACTCCACTGCACCGCACAGGGTGTCGTCAACATATACCTGGGGGAACACACTGTTACTGGCTATATACTCCACTGCACCGCACAGGGTGTCGTCAACATATACCTGGGGGAACACACTGTTACTGGCTATATACTCCACTGCACCGCACAGGGTGTCGTCAACATATACCTGGGGGAACACACTGTTACTGGCTATATACTCCACTGTACCGCACAGGGTGTCGTCAACATATACCTGGGGGAACACACTGTTACTGGCTATATACTCCACTGCACCGCACAGGGTGTCGTCAACATATACCTGGGGGAACACACTGTTACTGGCTACATACTCCACTGCACCGCACAGGGTGTCGTCAACATATACCTGGGGGAACACACTGTTACTGGCTATATACTCCACTGCACCGCACAGGGTGTCGTCAACATATACCTGGGGGAACACACTGTTACTGGCTATATACTCCACTGCATCGCACAGGGTGTCGTCAACATATACCTGGGGGAACACACTGTTACTGGCTATATACTCCACTGCACCGCACAGGGTGTCGTCAACATATACCTGGGGGAACACACTGTTACTGTCTATATACTCCACTGCACCGCACAGGGTGTCGTCAACATATACCTGGGGGAACACACTGTTACTGGCTACATACTCCACTGCACCGCACAGGGTGTCGTCAACATATACCTGGGGGAACACACTGTTACTAGCTATATACTCCACTGCACCGCACAGGGTGTCGTCAACATATACCTGGGGGAACACACTGTTACTGGCTATATACTCCACTGCACCGCACAGGGTGTCGTCAACATATACCTGGGGGAACACACTGTTACTGGCTACATACTCCACTGCACCGCACAGGGTGTCGTCAACATATACCTGGGGGAACACACTGTTACTGGCTACATACTCCACTGCACCGCACAGGGTGTCGTCAACATATACCTGGGGGAACACACTGTTACTGGTTATATACTCCACTGCACCGCACAGGGTGTCGTCAACATATACCTGGGGGAACACACTGTTACTGGCTACATACTCCACTGCACCGCACAGGGTGTCGTCAACATATACCTGGGGGAACACACTGTTACTGGCTATATACTCCACTGCACCGCACAGGGTGTCGTCAACATATACCTGGGGGAACACACTGTTACTGGCTACATACTCCACTGCACCGCACAGGGTGTCGTCAACATATACCTGGGGGAACACACTGTTACTGGCTACATACTCCACTGCACCGCACAGGGTGTCGTCAACATATACCTGGGGGAACACACTGTTACTGGCTACATACTCCACTGCACCGCACAGGGTGTCGTCAACATATACCTGGGGGAACACACTGTTACTGGCTATATACTCCACTGCACCGCACAGGGTGTCGTCAACATATACCTGGGGGAACACACTGTTACTGGCTACATACTCCACTGCACCGCACAGGGTGTCGTCAACATATACCTGGGGGAACACACTGTTACTGGCTACATACTCCACTGCACCGCACAGGGTGTCGTCAACATATACCTGGGGGAACACACTGTTACTGGCTACATACTCCACTGCACCGCACAGGGTGTCGTCAACATATACCTGGGGGAACACACTGTTACTGGCTACATACTCCACTGCACTGCACAGGGTGTCGTCAACATATACCTGGGGGAACACTCTGTTACTGGCTACATACTCCACTGCACCGCACAGGGTGTCGTCAACATATACCTGGGGGAACACACTGTAACTGGCTATATACTCCACTGCACCGCACAGGGTGTCGACAACATATACCTGGGGGAACACACTGTTACTGGCTATAAACTCCACTGCACCGCACAGGGTGTCGTCAACATATACCTGGGGGAACACACTGTTACTGGCTATATACTCCACTGCACCGCACAGGGTGTCGTCAACATATACCTGGGGGAACACACTGTTACTGGCTATATACTCCACTGCACCGCACAGGGTGTCGTCAACATATACCTGGGGGAACACACTGTTACTGGCTATATACTCCACTGCACCGCACAGGGGTTAGGCTTAGCTATCAATTGTATCATGTTACTTTTGAATTTACAAAGGAAACATGTGTAACAGTTACAGCGTGAAATCGATTTTTTAACAGGGAAATTAAGTTCTCGATATCCTGATGAAGTGAGTAACCAGATGTGAATTATTAAATAAATCTAACTCAATAACTGCAACATCTCCCTAACCTTAGCGCCGTTAATTCTGTTCTGGCAACAGTCCAACCTGTTGTAGATAACAACAGCGTCCACATCAAAGTGGTCCAGTAAGTCCACCTTCCACTGATTGAAGCCAGCGTTGGCAGAGTGGGTACAGGTTCCCATAGCCCAGATACCACTACTCTTCCTGTCTACCCCTCGTGATGCTACCCCGCCCCACCCGACACTGCTACTCCAAGCAGGCATTCCTGGGTAGTGGTAACTATGGTTACTTGGTTGTGGTAACTATGGTTATTTGGTATAGATACCACTGCTACTCCAAGCAGGCATTCCTAGGTAGTGGTAACTATGGTTACTAGGTAGTGGTAACTATGGTTACTAGGTAGTGGTAACTATGGTTACTTGGTATAGATACCACTGCTAATCCAAGCAGGCATTCCTGGTATTAACTAAACACAGAACATAATTGGCAAACAAAATTTAAAAAGTTAGAAAAAAATCACGTTTCGGTCCCGGTCAAAATTCGGACCGGGCCCGGGATTAAGCCGGGATCCCGGTCGAACCTTGGTTGTAGTGAAACGATTTATAATTGGCGGTTGAGATCTCTGATGATAATAATAGAGGGTCTCACAGTATTTCCACTCGAAACAGCAGGAGTCGTAAGAAACGGCTTATTTTTTAAACTTACCTGCAGCGACATTGGTGAGCGGTGTTTCCTCGGTTTCCTGACCGTACGCCTGCACCTCACAAAGGGTAAGGTAGTTGTAGGGCAAGCTCACCTTGATAGCTCCTCCTACAGCTCCTCCACAAGATACCACGTACTTACTCTGTCCAGCTTTGAAGGCTACCTCTCCACACAGCACAGCTCCTACATATACCTGGGGAGGGGTTATAAAGGGTTATAAAGGGTTATAAGGGGTTATAAGGGGTTATACGGGGTTATAAGGGGTTATAAGGGGTTATAAGGGGTTATAAGGGGTTATAAGGGGTTATAAGGGGTTATAAGGGGTTATAAGGGGTTATAAGGGGTTATAAGGGGTTATAAGGGGTTATAAGGGGTTATAAGGGGTTATAAGGGGTTATAAGGGGTTATAACTATAAGGGGTTATAAGGGGTTATAAGGGGTTATAAGGGGTTATAAGGGGTTATAAGGGGTTATAAGGGGTTATAAGGGGTTATAAGGGGTTATAAGGGGTTACAAGGGGTTATAAGGGGTTATAAAGGGTTATAAGGGGTTATAAGGGGTTTAATGTAGGGGTTATAAGGGGTTATGAGGGATTATAAGGGGTTTAATGTGGGGGTTATAAGTGGTTTAATGGAATTTATTGGGAAGCATAATGAGGTTGTAACACGTTACATATAATAATAATAAAATGAAAGGAGAATGTTGTTACGTACCCTAGCGAGGTTTATTCTGTTCTGACAGCAGTCCTCCCGATTATAAAGGACAACTCTGTCTACTTTGTACATTCCGTCAAGTTTTACCCTCCACCAGTTATTGATGTTAGAGGAGGTGTGTGTACAGGTTCTGAACAGCAAAAAAACGATTATCATATGCATATAAACGTATGTATAATTAAATATATTATCCAATTGATGATCAAAATTAGTTGATGATGAGAAAACCTTTTTATTAATCGGCTTCCTGTAATTGGCCGGTTATACTTGTGTAAAAATGGGCCTGTTGAAATATCCGAAATAAAATAAGCGTTAGATTTTTAAAAATCGAGGTTTGCCAAATTCAACTGAATTAATCCAAAGACGATTAAACCAAGATGAGTATTATGTAATCGATTTTACATTTCAGGAAGCCATACATTAAGCTTATTCAATAATAACGATCAGTCTTGAATACTTAATTAAATTTTACGAAGTGTATTTTTTGTAAATAACTAACCCAGCTGGCCATTGCCCGTTTGTGTTTCCATCAATTGCTCGTGCGGCAACTCCACCCCATCCTACATTGTTTTGGGTGGCTACAAGATCCTTCGTCAGAATGTTAACCTCAGGCTCGTCCTCATCCTCACCCTCACCCTCACCTAGGGGTTTCTCTCTGATAATGGTATTCCACAATATAGGCACTCCGCCTGCCTTCAGCGCTGCTCCCCCAAACACTTCAAACTTTGTAGCACCGCTGTAGGCCTGCCTCTTTGGGAAGTTAACTCCAGGCATTACCTCCCCGTTAAAAGACGCAATATACTTATCCTCCAACACTGAAACGGTGATTTTGAACTCTTTGCCCGCTTCGAAAGCTGGAAGGGGTGCTCTCAGCTCTCCCTGCCAATTTGCATTCTTTCGAGAGTTCATAACTAGGATGCTTCCATCCCCAGCGGGCCTGAAAGCCATTCTGAAGAGGTAGTTAGATGCACTGTCCTTGATGTTCATTCCGAACCTGGCGACAGCTGGTGTAAAAACACCGGAGTATGTGATCTTGTCTCCAACCTGCAGACCGCCGAGTCCTTTGCTTGTTTGTCCTGGGGCAGGATATGGTAGAGAGCTTTAGTACTTAAGGTTACTGTTTATAAGAGTTTCTGCTAGGAATATCACTTTTTGGGTAGTCCTTGTGAAACACAAGGTTTTATCTTTTGACCCCCTTTGAGACCAGGAGTTGCCTAGCTAAGCGGGTTTTTTTACTGCTGTTATCTACTGTTCAACAATACTGAAAGCTTAGTCAAATAACTAAATCTTTGCGGAGAAGTGAGTATTATAAAATAATAATTAATTAATACAATAAAAATATAAAAATTGTGAAGATATGAATACCTGCTAGAACTGGGACTTTTGGAGCGTTGTAAGGTGTCTTGTAGATGTTTTGTGCTTTATTTGTTCCAAGTACTTGGTCATCAAATACACTGATTTGACTTAGTTTTCCGGGTAACTTGACCCATTTAGTACCTGGCGAGGATGTATTACTTTTAGATAATAATATAAACCTTTTAGATATAGTCAGAGTTTAGTTATGTTCTGTATGCCATAAAATCAATCAAATCTGTGGACACAAATGATAATGACTATACTCACGATTACAATAAAAAGGGTATTAAAGCTGGAGAATTTACCTGTGGGGGCGGCGTTGCTGATTCCCTCCCGGTAATATATGTCATCAGCTGCATTCACTCCGACCACAATGTCTCTTCCTGAAGCTATCCACTTCAGCTTTCCTGGCACCAACACCCACTGTAAAAGTGGGACAGTTAGAACTTTAAGCTTTTGTAGTAGTTGTACAGCAATAGTAAGACCTCGTTATTAAGCTTTTGTGTATAAACATTGCAGAACAACAAGCTACAGACAGGGGTCACTGGAGAGGTCTAATACACCGGAGAAAGGAGTTACTATGTGGTGCAGGCCACTCCAACGACTAGGAGGAGACCTTTCCAAGTACAAGTAAGTAAGTATAAACATTGCGTTCTCTGTAACATTGTCCAGAGTCGACTAACATTGTCCAGAGTCGACTTGGCACTATTTCACTTCCAAAGACAAATAAAAAGATCTGAAGAATATCGTGAATGAGATGATCATCCGCAACATGAGAAACATAACACATACGGGATCTTATTGTGCTACAGTTGTACATTTATCAAACTATCATTTTTTAAATTCAAAAATCCAAATAAACATTCCATCAATGTATTACAGTTAAATTTACAAAAGACCACAATATCTCCTGTGAGGCAAAAAACATGGAAAATGAGAGCTAGAAAAATATTCGTGCGAGACTCAACACTACCAGTACCAGACTGTAGCTGGAGTGGTAAACATTATGTAAAACATCATAGTAAACTTTATTTGCACATACAGCGACAGACGAACCCCGAATAACTGGGTTTTACTTTTAAGGGAGATCAGAGATTTAGGAAAGGACAAAAAACCCCGTAAATGGGTGGTTAGGCGTAACGTTGCCCCTCCCCCCCCCTACACTTACAGTGGTCCCCCCTCCCCCCCCCCCTACACTTACAGTGGTCCCCCCCACTACACTTACAGTGGTCCCCCCTCCCCCCCCCACTACACTTACAGTGGTCCCCCCCCCCCCTCCTACACTTACAGTGGTCCCCCCTCCCCCCCCCCTACACTTACAGTGGTCCCCCCTCCCCCCCCCCCTACACTTACAGTGGTCCCCCCCCCACTACACTTACAGTGGTCCCCCCTCCCCCCCCCACTACACTTACAGTGGTCCCCCCCCCCCTCCTACACTTACAGTGGTCCCCCCCCCACTACACTTACAGTGGTCCCCCCTCCCCCCCCCCTACACTTACAGTGGTCCCCCCCCCACTACACTTACAGTGGTCCCCCCCCCCCCACTACACTTACAGTGGTCCCCCCCCACTACACTTACAGTGGTCCCCCCCCCCCCCCCCACTACACTTACAGTGGTCCCCCCCCCCCACTACACTTACAGTGGTCCCCCCCCCACTACACTTACAGTGGTCCCCCCCCCCACTACACTTACAGTGGTCCCCCCCCCCCCCCCCACTACACTTACAGTGGTCCCCCCCCCCCCACTACACTTACAGTGGTCCCCCCCCCCACTACACTTACAGTGGTCCCCCCCCCCCCCCACTACACTTACAGTGGTCCCCCCCCCCCCCCACTACACTTACAGTGGTCCCCCCCCCCCCCCCCACTACACTTACAGTGGTCCCCCCCCCCCCCACTACACTTACAGTGGTCCCCCCCCCCCCCCCACTACACTTACAGTGGTCCCCCCCCCCCCCACTACACTTACAGTGGTCCCCCCCCCACTACACTTACAGTGGTCCCCCCCCACTACACTTACAGTGGTCCCCCCCCCCCCCCACTACACTTACAGTGGTCCCCCCCCCCCCCCCACTACACTTACAGTGGTCCCCCCCCCACTACACTTACAGTGGTCCCCCCCCCCACTACACTTACAGTGGTCCCCCCCCCCCCCCCCCCCCCCCCCCCCCCACTACACTTACAGTGGTCCCAGAAATGTTGTTATCACCACGTGTTCCGGCTCTGTAGTAAATGTTGTTTGCTGAGTTGACTACCCACACTCCTGCCATTCCAACACTGCGCAGATAATTATGTTAATTATTTCATTTTTATGCTAATTAATTGAGTGATTAATTAAGTTAGTTATTTTTGTAATTAGCGTAAACAAATTGCTGAAATAATAATTACATATTTTCTTATAGATCCTTAATTTTTAACCTTTGGTGATAATTTTACTGAACTCTGTATGGTGTTTAACTGAATCGGAAATGTTCACCAAAAACTACGGCTACAAATCAAAAACAGCACCAGTATAGCAATTTACCAGTTTGATACTCTTACACTCCTATTTACAAGTATATAACACTACACTATTTCCCACTATTTACTGTACCTGACTTCTATAGCTTTCCCTTGGATTTCCTGCCACGAGTCACCTCGCCTTCTATAGATGCTGCCGGCTCCGTTGACTCCCCAGACATTTCCATTATCGCTCACATCAACCTGAAGAGGTTCAATATTAGAGGGGATCTTGAAACATAGACGAGTCCACTCAGGTACTTGTAGTCACTAATCTATAATGTGATGAAATCAAGCTTCTAAATTCGGGATAGCCTGTAGCAGGCAACGCCCGATTCTAATGCTTCTGCAGACCTACACAAGTGCAAGTAAGTAGGTAAATATTTCATGCTAGGCATGTGGCACCCATCCATTGAGCTATTACTCACGTTTATGAGTTGGCCGGGGATTGTTTGCCATTTGTTATCTCCCAGGTACTTGTAGATTTCACCTGGAGATCCCTGAATTTTGTTAACTCCCCACACCTCGGATCCTGACGCCACGTGGGTTAAAGCTTGTCCGGTTATTTGGGTCCAGCTTGCTCCTGATGGGGTGTAATTAGTTAATTAGGGTGTTTAGGGTGTAATCAGTTAATTAGGGTGTTTTGGGTGTAATTAGTTATTTACCTAATTAGGGTGTTTTGGGTGTAACTATTAGTTAATTACTTAATTAGGGTGATTTGGTTACTTTGGATATTTCGGGTATTTTTAGGAATTTTTGGGTATTGTTTGGCATTTTTGATCGGTAGTTCGACATTAACCAATGAATAAATAAATAACAGAAGAGAATTTGCTCCTTTTGTGAAACTGTCAATTTTGTTTACGTGTCCTAACAATCATTTTTCACATCAAGTAAATGTAACAAATGTAACAAATGTAACAAATGTAACAAATGTAACAAATGTAACAAAAGATAATTAGTAATTAGTAATTAGTAATTAGAAATTTGTAATTTGTAATTTGTAATTAGTAATTAATAATTAGCAATTACCGTCCTCATTAAGCTTGTAGACGTTTCTACCACTGTTGACACCCCACACTCCAGACTTCCCCTTGTTGATCCTTGTAAGACCCCCTGCAATCTGCGTCCATGCTCCCTCAAGCTTAGCTGAGTAAAATAAGTTCTTTTTTGTTTTTTTAATAGGAGAAATTCAGGGACCAAGTATGATCAATGATCATTGATCATGAGTCGGCTGTATGAGTTCACTATTCTGGCAAAAGTTTGAATATTAAAGGATTCCCCTTTCAACCTTGACTATAAGATGGAACCAGAATCAATATCATTTTAATTGTCAATAAGCAAGTTGGTGCTAGAATTCTACTAAGTTGACGGTGCTAACCGGGACAAGTAGCACTATCTAGCACTAAAAAATCAGCTATGTAGCGGCTATGTAGCGGCTATGTAGCGGCTATGTAGCGGCTATCTAGCAATAATAAATCTACACCAAATTTCATTAGATAACAGGAAAAATAAGTACATGCTCTTGAATGCCTCCAAGCGATCACTTCAATCACCGTCAATCAATGTTTGATAAGATAAATAATGTAAATGATAAGAAATTTACCCTTAGGACATTTCATATTCCTACTGTTAACCCCGTTCATAGATATGGATTGAGCCTCACTGAACTCTCTGTTCTTGAGGAAGCACCTTAAGGTGGACGGTTGGTGGGTAAGGGAAGCACACCCGGTCTGGGCAGTACACAGAGCTTTACACTTCACTATAGAGACCACGTTAGGTACCTGAGATTATAGAGGCAACGTTAGGCACCTGAGATTATAGAGACCACGTTAGGCACCTGAGATTATAGAGACCACGTTAGGCACCTGAGATTATAGAGGCCACGTTAGGCACCTGAGATTATAGAGGCCACGTTAGGCACCTGAGATTATAGAGGCCACGTTAGGCACCTGAGAATATAGAGGCCACGTTAGGCACCTGAGATTATAGAGGCCACGTTAGGCACCTGAGATTATAGAGACCACGTTAGGCACCTGAGATTATAGAGACCACGTTAGGCACCTGAGATTATAGAGATCACGTTAGGCATCTGAGATTATATTTATAGAGACCATGTTAGGCACCTGAGATTATAGCGACCACGTTAGGCACCTGAGATTATAGAAGCCACGTTAGGCACCTGAGATTATAGAGACCACGTAAGGCACCTGAGATTATAGAGACCATGTTAGGCACCTGAGATTATAGAGACCACGTTAGGCACCTGAGATTATAGAGACCACGTTAGGCACCTGAGATTATAGAGACCACGTAAGGCACCTGAGATTATAGAGACCACGTTAGGCACCTGAGATTATAGAGACCACGTTAGGCACCTCAGATGTGGTTTGGAGTGAAAAGAAAAGTTTCATTTTTTTCCGATCCATTTCTTTTCTCGGCAAAGCTGCCTAAAAAGCTATTATTAAGGAGAAAGTGGATGGAAAACTTTGTAGGATAACGATCAGGTTATATGAAAGATCTCATACCATTTTTATGTCAGATCCACGGAAATCGGCGTTTTCTTTTACACATCCATCCTCTTTCATGAAAATAACAAGGATAAAAAACGACAATTTGAATTACACCGATAAAAATCACAACGATAACATTTTAATTGTAATTGTAATAACTAACGTTACCTATCGATAGCTAGCGCTATCTAGCACTAAAACATAATTTGTTACCTTTATCAACCATAAAGGAAATTTCATTGGAAGGACTGTTCTTCAGCTCGACTCCTTTTCGCAGTGTGAACTTTTTGGATCCGGTCTCGTATGTGATACCTCCACAGTCTAGTGGAAGAAAGGGTGAAATGATATTTTACCAGAGATTCTTTATATCTTAATTTGTTTATTTGATTTCTAGATAACCAATTAACCATTTATTATTTAATTAACTGCAAGTGTGAACTGACCGGATCGTTTGAGACATTCGCTCTGAGCCTGCACAAGACCATCGTACTTTGCATTTCCTGCGCTGTAGCCGCCCAGGTATTTACCAGGGTTACGGCTCCAAGTTTCTGTAAATATTTCTATATTTTATCAAATTAGGGTACCAGTTTTCACTCGAAGAAACGTTTTTTTACTTTCACCAAGTTATTTTTTTTTCGATTGTCAGGCGAAAATTTATTTTTGTGTGATGAGGTTAAAAGTTAAAACTACAATATTAGATAAAGTTTACACTATAAGGGATTTCATTAGATAACACTAATAGAACAAATAAGTACTAAAAATATTTTTAGTTGGAATAAAGTTTTTCCAGTCAATTTTACAAATCTTGAAAATGCCTTACCTCCGTTAACTCCAACAGCCAAAACGCTGCACACAGAAATCACAAAAAGCACAAAACTCATCGTGCTTCTAATTCATACAGAAAGCACACGAGAAATCTAGAAATAATCTCACTCAGTTAAACTGCTTACCTGGAGCAGGCAACATGAAACAGTGTCAGCTCGTCCGTGCGCATGACCAGTATGTCGTGTCTCACTAGAGTCGTGATTATGCTCATGAAATCCAGGGTAGGAGAACTGTGGTGTACTCATTGTCCAATGTCCAGGGTAGGAGCTGTGGTGTAGTAGGAGAGCTGTGGTGCCTCTAGTTGTCATGGTAATGTGGTGTACACATAATCTGCTTCAGTTACATTCCGTACTGAGTATTTTCTTAAAAGCAAAGAGAAATAAATTTCATCAGCCGGCAAGCTCAAGTTACCCGTCAGCTTGGGCGCTAATATAATTTACTTTCTATCGGAAAGATGGCAATATTGCATGAATACTCATCTTTCCTGTCCTAAATTTCCGCGTCATTTGATGAAACAATTATGTATTATGGTTATATTTGCAGGTTTAGGCTCAGTAAAAGACGTGGATGAATTTTCAAATTTTCAAAAAGAAAAAAAAAAGATTACAGAACTAGTTGAAGTAGTTTAATAATTAATTAAGGCATTAATTCGAAAAATGTAGCTGACCAAATTCAAAGATGTATCGAAATTGACAGTTTTACAAGTTTTTCAAGTTCTGCAAGATTTACAAAAATAGATTTATATTTTGTAAAATGTATATAATGTCAGATCACTAATTAGGAGTACTAAAATCAAATCCCAAATCCCAAAAGAAATCCGTTAGCAACAAAATTTGTTCAAACCAACAACAAAATCGATCAAGCCAATAGCTTGCATTAAATACATAAATCCTTGCAAAACAACAACGCGAACTTGCTCGTGAAAAAGTCCGTGTGAGCACAGTAAAACCCCGATTTACTGCCGAGAATTTGAGGGAAAGAAAACGTCCGCGGTAAATCGGAGTGTAGTAAATCGGGGTTTTACTGTACAATGATACCAGTATAGTATTGATTAAATTAATTAACGTTTATCATCCTCAAAGAACCACTTTAAATTATTAAGTCACTGAACCAATTCAACAATTTTACTCTTCAAAAAATGTTCCACTCTTCAATCTTAAATCTCTTTGCATTATTAGGTATTTTGGGTTAGTATTATCTCATCAGTGACATGATTATATAATAACTAAGTGCTTTTAAACTTTAACGAGTTGTTAAAACATTTTTCAAGGGCCATTCGGTGGTCTTTTGTAAAAAATAAATACCCACAAAAACATGTGGTAAATCATAAGCAAAAACTTGCCGGAGTGAAGTGTCAAATGTCAATTACTAAGTCACACTTCCTTTAATATACATTATACATAAATATAGACTTAAAGTTTGAACTTTAAATGTCTTAAAGTTTAACTTTGGGTCCTTCCACCATCTATACGATGGCTAATTCTGTTCAGTCACAATTCTCTTCAAGTTCCACAATCAGCTCTGCTTTACATCTCGCTTTTAATTGAGTGCGCGGCGCGGCCCAGTATGAGTAACGCATAGCGCTACAAATCTCGCTTCTTTTCTTTGTTTCTTTGTCTCATCTTGCGGTTTATTTTCGTTGACATAACCGCTGCTGTACCACCTTTAGACATTTCTACCGTCTTTGGGGTGGCCATTCTTGTTTTTTTCTTATTTCCTCCTTTTACACTCCCGTCTGAAGTTCCTGGGATTTCTTTGTCTTTTACCTCAACAGATTCCAGCTCGATTCCAGTCTCAGTCTTTTCACGTGCTAAAAGTTTACTCAAGTTCTGGCGTAATTGTCGATAGACTCTTAAGTTTACCATGATTGTTCCAAGTCTCCGGATAGGAACGCTGATGTAGTGTGTCACAGTGTTATCGTAAATCAGAGGATTTATGACAGAGTTTATTGGTAAAATAGTCATTGAGAACAGACTATACCAGGGTGTTGCATCCAGAACTTCAAGGGAATGCAATACACAGATCACTATGAAGGGCACCCAGCAAAAGAAATCTGTGCTGATAATGATGGCGATTTTTAAGTTCATTTTCCTGTTGCGTTCGGAGATTTGAGGGTTTGCTCCTGACTGTGTCAAAGCTTTAGATGATTTGTGAGAAATGATGCCAATGATAAAGTACGAGGCTGTGATAAAAAAGAAGCACACAAAGTTCAGGACAAGAATTGCCCATACCAAGTGTCTCTGTGGATCGTTTTCTTTGACAAAATATTTGAAGAGGCACACTCCATCACTCCCATAGAAGTCTACCTTTTGGATGTTCTTTGTGTAATCTTCATACCCATTATCGTGAGAATACATCTGTGACACCATTTTGTTGATCATACGCCAGCTTAGTGTTGTTTCCTTCATTCTACCGAAGTATCCCTGAAAGACGGCAAATAGTGTCTGCTTGTTCATTGTTCCAATAAATAGTTTCATCTCTTCTGCATACTTGATCCCATTCACGAAGAAATCCTCAAATTTGTTGATGATTGGGATGATGGCGATGCTCATGGACGCCAGAGTCATCACCAACAATCCTCCTGCCACTTGCAGTGATTTTACCAAGGTTACTTCTCCTGGAATTCTCATTGAATTGTGTATCCCATAGATCCGGGTCATGCTCAATGCACACATTGCAAATAAAGAGATTTGAGAACCTATGGTACTTATAACACCGATAATTGAACAGTTTAAACTTGTAATCCAGTTTATCTGCTGAAGGCAGTAATTTTCTTTGTAGACTATACCATCGTATATTGATATAACGAATAAGTAACCACCAACTAGGAGGTCTCCTAAAGATATCATCATGATGAGGCACTTGTTGAACAGGGCTACTGTGGTCTTACAGTTCTTCAAAGTTACAGTATTTTTAGTAAGGATGACAAGGTTTGCAAATATAGCTAGAGATCCGATTGTCCAAGAAAGACTCTTTAGAGACGTCCCCTCTAGAATTTCCCTTGAACATTCTTCATTACATTCGTCTGATAAATCCAGACAGTCGAATGATCCATCACATTTCTTTGTGACCGGTATGTAGATATCTTTGTCACATATGAAGTGATTAGTACAGCTGTTTTCATCTGACCCGTCTCCGCAATCATCGGTGAGATCACAAACCTTCGAGTAGTCAATGCAGGTGCTATTATTGTTACAAATAAAATACCTATTCGTATATGTATTGTCGGATGATTTGGTAAAAAAGGTTAAGTATTCATTGTTAGCTATTGTTCCAATACGGTCATGGTATTGCCCTGGACAGTGTTCATATCTAGGGATATTCTTCAGGGGGCAAGGAGAACTTGAGCACTTGTCTGTACAACTAGTGTAAACATATTGCTCTCCAAACATGTGGTCACAAGTTTGTTGATCTTTTGGAAGTATCACTGCAGTTCTACTATCTACTCCGTAAAAATGATGGTTTGGATAAATAAAAGAATTCTTTGAGCAGGTATTTCTAAAGTGTCGAGTAGTTTCCATCCCTTTTAAGCAGTGAGATAGATGCTTTGTCATGCCCTTGTTGGTTGTAAGAACAGTTGTTGAAATTTTGGGTATATCACGTGACTCCGAGCAAATCTTGTTTTCGTTTCCGCACGTTTCAACTCCGTCACAAAGATCACTCAATTCAACATATCCTGGCATGCCCCAACGACAAAGGAATACATTTTTACATGTGTCGTATCTGATAACAAATCTTAACGTTTTGACACTCCCACAAGTGGGCCAAATTTCATCTTCGTCAATTCCATTTTGGCAGTCCTCCAGACCATCTTCCAACCAAGCTAACGGTATCGAGAGTTCCTCTCTATGACCGACCCGTCTTTTACACTTCCTAAGTGTCATGGAGTTGCACATTTGATGAGTTTCGTCGCTTCTGTCTGGACAGTCATCTTTACCATCACACATGACATGTTTATGTAGATATTCAGTACACAGCACAGTAGATATTTGCAAACACTGGTTTTCAAGGTTATCATCACATATTCTCATTTCTATTGATTCCGTATCATCAGACAACCAATCTGACCCTGACCCGGTGGTAGAAATACAAATGACATATTTAGAAAAAGTGGACATGAACCCGTTAACAAGGCATAACCCCCCAACCCTTGCAGGATCGGTACAGTTTGTTTGATGTTCGTAGTGATTGCAGTACTTCATGTTGTCATAGTAAGATTCATATACCACTGCA